ATGAGTGCACAGCCAAAGAAAGACAAAGAGTCATACATGAGCAGAGAAACACACACACACACACTCAGGCATACACAGTCACGCACACACAAACATACACAGTGGCAGATAGAAAATAATACAGAATGAAAGGGAAAAAAGTGAACTTCCTGGTGTCCAAGAATAACCCTCAGACACAAACGAGAGGTTAGCATGCCAGCTACTTCATTCACAGGGAAACTGATGCCAGGGTTAAGACTGTATGTCAGTCTGGCATGGTAGAACAAGCCTGTCATTCCAATACTCATGAGCAAGAGACAGATAAAATCAAAGCCAGCCTGACTCCACCATGATATCTTGTCTCAAAAAAAAGTAGTTATTCTGTGGGCATAGCCCAGCATGCACACGGCTCAGTCTGATGATCCCTAACACCACAATGTTGGCACAGTGGTCATACTGGCCATCTTAGTGCACCTGATGATCCCTAACACCATAATGTTGGCACAGTGGTCATACTGGCCATCTTAGTGTACCTGATATGGAGGCAGGAACATAGAGATTTGAGATCATCCTTGACTTTATAGGGTGTTTGAGGCCATCTTGGTTATATGAAACAGTCTCAAAACATGTTATATACACCAGTCAAGTGATAGAAATAAGAACATGCTGCCCCCACCCACCCATGGATGTGCTGATTTGCTGACCAGTGAGCAAAGAGGTCCATGGGCTGTTTTACTTTGGTAGTCATAGGCACTTCTGGGTTGTTTTTAGAAACATAACAGGAGAGTACTGGTGACATAGTCCTTTGTTAGCACCTCATTCCTTCATACTGGTGTTTGTCATTTCTCAGGAGACTCTGAGATGTCCCTGCAGAGGCTGGAAGGGAGCAGAAGAAATCTAGAGAGTAAGAAGAAAGACAGGAGAAAACAGGGTGACAAAGTGACCAGGAAGCTGAGATAGAACTAGAGGAACCAAAAAAGAGAGAGAGCAAAAGTGATGAAGAGCAGGGGCAGGTAAGGGTGGGAGTAGGTAGGGGAAGGGACAAAAAGAAAGAGATGGAAATGCTGCAAGACAGTTAGACAGAAAACCAGAGAGACAGATAAAGACAGACCTGCAATCTGCAGAGCACTCAATCAGGCGACAGACAGGTGAGCCCCAGAAAGGGGGGGAATGCTGGCCCAATATTGCTGGACTGAAGACATCTCACGAGGGCCCATGATGGGACCTAGAATTCAAAGGCAGCAGGTGACAGATGTTGATGGTTCTTGAAACACCTCTGAGTCTAAAATCAGAGAAGGATTGGAAGAAGACCCAGAGAGGAGAGACTTCTAAACCCGCACAGGCAATCCCCGAACCGTTGTCTGTACATTCCTGCCAGACAGATTTAACAATCAGCTCACAGTCAGAATGGTGGCCTGGGAGGAGGTGCAGCGTGGAGACTAAGCACACATGCTGTCTGAAAGCTCTCCAGGTCTGAATCCTGGTCCCAGTTGTGAGGAGCTGTGTTGTCATGGTGAAATTAGCTACCTTCTCTGTAGATACTAATCGAAAGGGAAAGGATTGGCCCAGGACACCGCAAGACCAAATTCTCAGTACGAAGGAGACTTATTTGCTCTAGAGGGAGTGAGGGCAGTGATGAGGAACAAAGACAGGAGATAGAGGAATAGGGAGAAGGAGAAGAATAAAAGTGGCAGGGGAGATGGGTAAGAGGTATTTGTCTTTGGGGCACAGAGGACGGCCTCTGGTTAGGGAGAAGACAGATGTGCCCCATAAGCAAATGGTGGATGGTAAAGGTAAAGAGGGGAACTCTGTTTTAGGATGAGGTGTTTAGTTTTAAGGGGGCATGTTAGTTAGATGAGCTAAAGGGGAATTTCCATTGCTAGACTTCAATATTTGATAGCTGGACCTTGGTAGTCAGCTTCAGAAGGAGGAAGTGGCCAAATGAGGGAATAAACCTTGGGAGCAAGCTTGAGGAATGTATTCTAACAATTCTTAGCAAGGAGAGGGAGTGGGGAAGGACAAGGCCTACCAGAGTCATGTGCTGGTGTGGGCTACTGTCCCTTCACTAATAGCATTGCATCTTATGTGTAATAACCATGAGAAAATTAAAGAAAATGGCAATACAACACTGAGTGCAGGACCTGGTGCCCATAGGTACAGTGTTAGCAGCTGCTGTTTTTTCTTTGAGTAGTGAGTGGTGGCAACGGCTTTACAGAGATGGGGCTAAAGCCAAATGTTCCCCAGTTCTTGACACCATGCCTGCTGTCCTGCCTTCTCATTCTCCAGGAGCCCCCCTGGACACCACCTTCCTCTTCCAGTGCATCACAGCCAACATCATCTGCTCCATTGTCTTTGGAGAGCGCTTTGACTACAAAGACCGCCAGTTCCTGCGCCTGCTGGAACTGTTCTATTGCACCTTTTCGCTCATAAGCTCATTCTCCAGCCAGGTCAGTGGGTGGGAAGAGGGCAGAATCCAGGGCAGAGGAAACAAGAGGCTGCTTTGTGGGTGAAGAAGGAGGTGTCTTAAGGCAAGAAGAAAGGCCGAGACAACATGGAGAGACAAGGGGGCTGAGACCAGGAGGGAGGGAGGGATGGTTAACAGGACGGATAGACAAGAATGTAAGAATGTAGATGCATCCAGACATAAGGGGAATGATGACATGGGGCTATGGCTGTCTGTGGCTAAGAGAGCAGAGGACTTGTCCTGTATTAATCCCTGGGTTCATCTCTAGCACAACGGAAGTCAGGTTTGGTGTTACACATTTTCAATCCTAGTACATGGGAGATCAGAGTTCTTGGCCATCTTTGCATAAGCACTGAGTTTGATCATAGTCTGAAAAATAGGAGGCCTACTGGGAAGTGATGGCCTATGCCTTTAATCCCAGCACTTGGAAGGCATAAGCAGGCAGATCTCTGAGTTTGAGACCAGCCTGGTCTACAGAATGAGTTCTAGGACACCCAGGGTTACACATAGAAACCCTGCCTCAAAAAACCAAAACCAAACCCAAAACAAACAAACACATAAATGAATGAACCAACAAGAACCAGGAGACCATAACTGAAAGAAAAACAAAACAAAACAAAACAAAACAAAACAAAACAAAACAAAACCAAAGTGATGGTTTAGGACAAAGAGGAGAGAAAAAGAGATATCGAGAATACAAGATAACTTATCTTGTATATAACTTATCTTGTATTCTAACTAGTGCTGGAAAAAATATGCAGATAGACAGTCTAAGAGACGCTATGTGTATTTGTGCATGTGAGTGAAAATGAAGAAACAAGAGAAGATGAGCAAGTGAGGGAGGGAGGAGAGAGGGAGGGAAGAAGAGAGCATAGAAAAAGGGAGAACAGTCTTTTATGAAATATTGGGACTTAGGAACCCAGCTTGCGTCTTGAGACTTGATAGCTCCAGGTGACCTCCTGGGCCCTTCTTTCTCACAGGTGTTTGAGCTCTTCTCTGGATTCCTGAAGTACTTTCCTGGGACCCACAGACAAATCTCTAAAAACCTGCAGGAAATCCTTGAATACATTGGCCATAATGTGGAGAAGCACAGGGCAACTTTGGACCCCAGTGCTCCACGAGACTTCATCGATACCTACCTTCTACGCATGGAGAAGGTAAGTCCGTCCTGAATGGTTGAAAGAGAGGATGGGGGCAAATGAAGAATGGGAGTGTGATCACAGCAAAGAAGGGAGGGGGGACAGAGGATGATGAGGACAGGTGTAAAATGGAATAGAGGAGATGCAGAAGCACGTGGATAATGAAATAAAAAGAAAGGGAGGAGAAAATAAAACAGAAAGAAAAAAGGCATATGGCCAGGGAAGAACACAGGGCAAATGGTAAAAAGTAGAAAGACTGGAGGGGAAGAAAGAGCCTGTGAGGAAAAACATGATAAACTCCCAAAGAGCAAAGTAGAGAGAGAAGAAGATGGAAGCCAAGGGATATTGTTGAGGGTAGAGAAATGCCAAGCAGTCCAGATAGTGTGAGACTCACAGACAGAAAGACAGCGACCAGAAATGCATGTGCTTCACCCTGCAAGGCTCCAATCACCCCTGACCTTCCCTTTTCTCTCCATCTGGAACCAGGAGAAGTCCAACCAACACACGGAGTTCCACCACCAGAACCTTGTGATCTCCGTGCTCTCTCTCTTCTTTGCTGGCACTGAGACCAGCAGCACCACACTCCGCTATGGCTTCCTGCTCATGCTCAAGTTCCCCCATGTAGCAGGTGAGCCACAGGTGGACAGTTGGGGCATTTTTTAGCTCCCTTTTGGCTGCAGAGGTTTGTTTGGATGAGAGAGACATGGGCCTCTTACACATGGAACTCTGAATGTTTGGGTTTACTTCTAAATTAAGGCACTCCTGAGGGTGGTGTGTGAATGAACACTCAGCTGACCTGATTTAAGTTGTTTTTTTTTTTTCTGCCACATAAAGGTTGATCCTTTCTCCTACTCTCCCTCCCTCCCTCCCTTCCTTCCATCATTACATTTGTCTATTCATTTATCTTTCTATCCATCCACCTCTTTATCCATCTACTTATTCTCATTTACCCACCTGTTTGTCCACCCACCAACCAATCTCCCATCCACCTATCCCTCAGTCATTTTCCCACCCATCTTAGCATAAATCTATCCAAACAACCATTTACTTACTCATCCTTCTATCTACCCACTAAACACACACACACACACACACACACACACACACACACACACACACACACACGAACCCCTGCCTCCAGCATGTATTCACTCAACCATATACTAATCAACATTATTATTATTATTGTAATCATTAATTCTTTAGTCACCCAAGGAGGCATTCCGTTCATTTCAATTAATCAACTTAAGAGTTCTTCCTTTGATCAGCAGAGCTGAATAAACAATTTGCCGCTGATGCATTCACCATTCACACCCTCACCTATCCTTCTGTCAACAGGTTTCATTCCTTAATTCTTTCACTAAGCAGCCTTTGAATTCCACTTTTGTCCATCCATTGTTCCATTATTCTGTAATTGAATCACCTATTGACTTTCAAGTTGAATACATAATGCAGTGTTTAATGTATTTGCTTTATTAACTCATGAATCTGTCCCCTCATTAATTGAATTATCCATTGACTTTTCTTATGTATCCATTTTTACAGGCATCTGTTGATGGATTAATTTACTTCTCTGTTATATTCATGAAGACCCAGATTCAAGTTCTTAATTTATAATTCCATGTGAAGTTGTGGTGTGTGTGTGTGTGTGTGTTTGTGTGTGTGTGTGTGTGTGTATGCATCTCCTTTCCACCGGTGAGAATTTTTTCCTGCTTTCTTCCTCCCCCTCTCACCTCATCATGATTGCTCTGAAGTCTCTCTCTGCAGTAGCTCTTCAAGGTATATTTTTCTTCCTTTTTAAAAATCTTGTTGTAGGGAAGTTGACGCTCATGGAGGAGAGCTTTAATATAGTTTTAAACATGAGCAGAGAGAGACAGGTGCTTAAGAATGAGACAGTTGTTTGCACCTGTTTGAGTATACTGAGTCTCTTGGGAGAGTCTCCTTGCTGTACTCATTTCATGGGTTGCTGGCTCAGGAATACAATATCATTGCTACAAAGCTGGTAGGGCAAGTCCACTGTCTCCTTTTTCTGTGCAGAGAAAGTCCAAAAGGAGATTGATCAGGTGATCGGCTCACACCGCCCTCCAACCCTTGATGACCGCATCAAAATGCCATACACTGAGGCAGTCATCCATGAGATTCAGAGATTTGCAGATCTTGTCCCAATTGGAGGGCCACACAAAGTCATCAAAGACACAGAGTTTCGAGGGTACCTGCTCCCCAAGGTGAGAGCAGCTGTGATTCCTCATCTCTACTCCACTAGCACATTCTAGTGTCCTAATCACTAACCCTTTGTGGTTTCCCAGCATTCTGTGCTTCTTAGGGACTGACTGCTTTGCATATGGATTCAGAGTATGTTAACATCTTTGTATCTTGTAACTCCTCCTAGAACACTGAAGTGTACCCCATCCTGAGTTCAGCTCTCCATGACCCACTGTTTTTTGAACAACCAGACACCTTCAATCCTGACCGCTTCCTGGATGCCAATGGGGCACTGAAGAAAAATGAAGCTTTTCTGCCCTTCTCCATAGGTGAGACAGACCTGTGATTCCATTCCCAGACACCAGACGCCATGCCCAGCCTCCAGAACACAAACAAATATATAGGTCCGTGTTTCCTGAGTCTGTTCCAGGTGCTTTGCCTGAACCATCCCATTCACCCTGGCCAGAGCCTCATGAGGTGACTCTTGAACTAAAGGATCATCCTGGTCAGAAGGACTTTGCAGAAGTCTTTAAAAGCCTCTAAATCTGAACAAATTCATTTTCTTTGTAGAAAACTGATTTTCTTTTATTTTATGCACATTGGTGTTTTCCCAGCCTGTATGTCTTTGTGAGTTGCAGACAGTTGTGGGCTGCCATGTGGGTGCTAGATTTGAACCTCAGTCCCCTGGAAGAGCAGTCAGTGCCCTTAACTGCTGAGCCATCTCTCTAGCCCCACAAATTCATTTTCTTAAGAAACAACACTAAGAACAACTGACATCACTTATGGACACAGCCTTGAGCTGGGAAGGGTATTGTGTCTGGGAAGGCATTTATCTCTGGGCACTGAGAAGATGGCACATGTCTTGACACTCTTGTCTCTGTTTGCATTAAATACTATTTGAATTATTAAATTTCAAGAAAAATCAAAATTACCAGCACTAATTTGAGCAAAGAAACCATTGATGATGGCTAATACCCCGAATCAGAGAAAATCCAGAGTTTAGCACCCATCAGTGTTGCAGGCTGTGTCTACAGACAAATGACGGAGCTGGCCATGCACACACAGCTTGACTGGTGCCAGTTCCACCCTTGCCTTACTTGGCCTTGCTGGACTAGTTGGCACCCTGGGATTGGTCAACTGCTATGTGTGACTGAGATGTGTTCTTTACTGGAGGAATACAATGTCAAGTCAGTGCATAGTTTGGTTGTCTACTGTGTGTGGTTCATTTGTTACACACAGAAGCTGCCTTCAGACAGAGTAAGTCAGTTTAATGGACTCTGTAGGATGTCAACATAGAAACTCTGTACTCAGGTTTCTTATCTTCTGGGGAAAGGGATGTTGTGGAAACAATCCCTTAGTCCCTGCACACTCTTATCCTAGGGATGAAATCCAGGGCTATGTGTATTAAGCAAGTTTTCTATTGAAAAGCCCACACCCCTGCCCCTCCCTGGTATATTCTAGAAGGTTCTCTCCCACTGAGCCTCTCTCCTCCTTATCCTCTCTCTGAAGTATTTAGGCAAGTGCTCTCTTGCTGAGCCATGTCTCAGCTAAGAATTGTTAAGCCTTGGATGTCCAAGTGTTTTCAGTGACCCTGGGCTCAGCCCTGCTCCTGGATTTCTCTAGTGTAATAGCCTCCTTTCATATGTCATCTTTAGAGTTGGAGACACGTGGAACAGTGAGATAAAAGCAAAGTGTCTGTATAACAGTCCCAAGTTTATAAAGAGAGGGATGTGGAGAAAAAAGACTTAAGAGAAAGACATGGAGGAAATGCATGACAAGATATGGTTAGACAGAGAAGGAGGAGGGTTCAGGATGCTAGCTAGGAAGTGTAGAAGAAGCAGACAGAAAATAATAGATAAGAAGACACATGGTGATGATAGGTACAGACAGCCACAGGGCCAGGTAGACTGCCATAGGACACAAGCAAGGAAGCGAGCAAGGAGACAAGGAAGCTAAAAAGATAGTAATGCCAAAAAACCATGGAAGGTGTCAAATCAGCAGCCTCAGGTAAGGGGACATTGTGTTGAGACATAAGTCATAAAACTGTTCTGGAAAAATCTGGGTCACAAAACCAGTTTTAAAAGAACCATTTCAGAGAGCTAATCTATCTACAAAATTTTAAAGTTGATGTCCCCACGTTTTGGAAAGGAAAGGCCCAAAAGAATAAGGTGCTTTCCATAGACTCCCCTACACAGGCACAATTTCCCAACAACCTGGAAAGCACAAGGGTTTCTGGGAAATTCCTCCTGTACCAGGAAACCTCAGGTAGTCACTTGCAGATTGAGAAACACTGAGAAAAGGGGCAGGAGCAGGTGCTGCTGCCAGTGTTTTCAGGCTCCCATTGCTGTAGGATGCTCATACCTGAGGTTACAGACCATCAAGTTCTCCCCAGACCTTTGAGAAGCCAGTGGGTGCCATGGACCCCTTGTTATGTGCACCTGCCCTATTTTCAGCTCTATGAACCATTGTGGTTGTGTTTGAGAATTTTGCCTCAAGCTGAATAAGAAAGTGCAGGAGAGTGGAGCGGGGGAGTAGAGAGAAGTGGAGATAGAGAAAGTGAAGAATGAGAGAAAGTGGGACAAAGGGAAAGAGAGGAAGAGGAAACGAGGGAGGGAGGGAAGGAGGGAGGAAGAGAGAGAGAGAGAGAGAGAGAGAGAGAGAGAGAGAGAGAGAGAGAGGTCTTGTTATACAGCCCATGGTGTTCTGAACCCCTCACCTTCCTACCTTAGTCTTCAATTGAGATTACAGGCATGTGGTTCCATGTCTCGCCTGTATAGGAATCTTTCTAAACAGCACCTTTATGCTCAGGACAGCGCTGAGATGGGTATCAACCCCATCCTAGAGAAACTCGTTCTTTTTTTTTTTTTTAATGTAACTACTATTTATTTTCTCCCCCTTTGAGAACTGTCTAGGAGTTTTGGCTTTTACATAGCCTTTGTCCTTACTCTTGGATCTAGCCTACACTTGAAGACAATCATGGCAGAAGAAAAAAAGTGTCGAGAAACACACTGATTATTCTGCTCAAATTTTGTGTCACAAGGCCAAAATGCTAGGGTGTTGGTGCAGTTTTACATATGACCAGAAGAGGGTGTGATGATAATTATAAGCCACTCCAATGGCTAACACACCTTTGTAGGCTCACAACCCATGGAAACCAACATACTTTTCAATGTAAATAAGAATGAGTTTCTCTTCTCTCAAAAGAGAAACTCGTTCTTATTCATTGTAATGGGCAAATGTGTCTAAATGGGTTTAGGGATGGGACAGTCCAAAGGTTGTATGTGGGCCTGAGACTCACATGGTTCATCTGTGCCCACAGGAAAGCGCATTTGTCTTGGCGAAGGCATTGCCCGCAATGAATTGTTCCTGTTCTTCACCACCATCCTCCAGAACTTCTCTGTGTCCAGCGCCATGGCTCCTAAGGACATTGACCTCACTCCCAAGGAGTGTGGCATTGGCAGAATACCCCCAACATACCAGATCTGCTTCTTGGCCCGCTGACTGTGGGCAGGTGTCCTAACTTCAGTAGAGAATGGCACCATCTTTCTGTCTCTGAGAGACCTGCAGGAAACCAGACCCTAGTGCATTGCTCATATCCTTCTACCGCCTGTGGCTTCTCCAAAGCTCCAATGTGTGCTTTTCTATGTGAATAGCACTTGAGAAATCAATCCAGTGCCTTTCGTGTTGTGTGAGCAGAAATGTCCGGAGACCACGTCACATGCTGAGTTACTTCTTGGTTTCTCCCAACAGCTGCAGTCCCCATTTATCAACTTGCTGTGCTTCATGATCTGTGCTAATGGACTCTGTACATGGTCCCAATTCTGTATCTACAGATTTGCCTAATATGTATGGTTCATGTAAATGAAATCACATAGTGTGTGATCTTTGGTGCCCTGTGTCTTTTTTATTTTTTAAAAATTTATTCCCTTTATATCTTGACTGTAGGCCCTCAATCTTTCTCCCATTACCATTCTCCCTTCCTCCTTCCCCTATAGGCCCTCCCCTACTCTTCGGACAAGTTTGAGGCTCCCCACTAACCCTTACCACTATATCATGTACCATCAGGACTGAGCAACTCTTCTTCCCTAGTGGCTTGGCAAGGCATCCCTGCCAGGGGGAAGTGATCAAAAACAGGTAAAAGAGTCTATGTCAGAGACAGCTTCCTCTCCTCTTTCTAGGGCACCCACATGAGGGCCAAGCTACCCATTGGGTGTGTAAGGGGACTAGGTTGGTTGAGTTCATGCATGGTCTCTGATTGGTGGCTCAGTCTCTGTGAGCCCCCTGTGCCCACATTGGTTGGCTCTGTTGGTCTAGTGGAGCTCCTGTCTCCTCTGGGTCCTTCTATTCTTCCCCACACTTTTCCACAAGACTGCCTGTGCTCTGCCCAACGTTTGTCTATGAATCTCAGCATTTGTTTCCATCCCCTGCTGGGTGGAGCCTCTGAGAGGACAGGTGTGCTATTGTTCCCATTTGAAAGCATAGCAGAGTAGAGTTAATAGTGTTAGGGGTTGGCTTTTTTCTATGGGGTGGGTCTCAGTTTCAGCCAGGCATTGGTTGGATGTAGGACTCTTCTGGTAATGGAATCACATAGTCAAAGTCTGATGTTTCCAGATAGCCTTTAAGCTCCATCTATAATGCAGTACTCCCTTTCTCAGCAGGGTTCTCTCTTCATTTGATCTGGGGAAGCCCAGATCCCATAAGGAGCATCACATAGCCCTCAGAGAAGATTACAGGCCTGACCCTTTCCTAATAAGAAACCTGCAAACACCTGGGGATTCCTGGAAATACCCCACCCTGTGTTAGTGAGATCTTAGCTTTCAGCAAAGGACCTTCGATTGTACCTGGAGATTTCCTTCACTTATAAGTACTTCACTTAGAACTAAGTACTGTGTTCTTCTTTTTGTGAGTGGACGGTGATACTGCATGTAAATGAGGTATTATATCACTACATGTAAATCAAGTAACCCTAGCACCTCTAGCCCCACCGAATAAAACACATTCACCCTGAGAACCCCTCCCAGTGCCCAAGGTTTATAAGTCCTTGATTCATGAAAGAAATCTCACTCTCATTCCATTTCGCCACCATGGCTGACTGAGAAATGTCGTTTCTTCTAGAGAAGGGTGGTCTTCTCTCCTCTCTGGAGATTCCCTGCTGCACTCCCAGGTCGTGGCTGCCAGGCAGGCAGGCTGGAGCCTGACTGACTTCTGTGAGCTCGGTGTTGATCTCTGGTACAGCACCCACCGTACCCGGACCTTCCTTCTGGCCTTCTGGGCTTGAGTCTCACTACATCTGCCTTCTGGCCTGCTGTGCCTGAGCCTTGTCAGGGATGTGTTTTGGCTTCATTCTGACCAGGTACAAGTTTTCACCCACTCCTCTGTCATTAATACAGAGGCTTAGCAAAAGGGCTGCAACACTTTGTTTTCATCTGATACTGACAATCTCATTTAAATGAGCTAACTGTAACACCTAGTGGAAAACTCATTTCCCCCTCCCCCAGTGAGACAGGAAACCTTGCCAATCACACATGTCTTGCCCTAAAGCCCTCTAGCCATTCTTGAGAGAAACAGAACCTCTGATCTCAATGTTGCTCTGTTCTTTGCTTTGTCTAGAAGCTGACAACCACATCCCTGACCACTGCCGGACAAGGAACAACAGTCACACATTCCTTCAATATCTGCTCTATCTATATTCCTGCCCATATTGTACGAAGGATCAATTTTAGGTTGAAGTTTTTGTGGTTGGGCTGGTGTTTCCTTCCCTCTGCTAGGAGTACTGTCTAGTTAGAGGATGACCTCTTTCATCTCCATTGACCCTTGCTATTAGGAGTCTCAACTAGAGTCTCCCCCATATCTTCCCAAGAGCCTGCCCTGTTGAGGATCTCCAACTTGACTCAGAGATGCTCCCTCCCACACTTTCTCTTCTTGATACAAGACCTCTACCCTCTCACCCCCTTTCCCCAGGTCTGATCTCCACCCTCATTTCTCTCAATGCTCACTCTTTTACTCTGTTCCCTCTCTTCAACTGCTTCCAACACCCATTCTGTTTCCCCTTTTGAGTGAGACTTAAGTATCCTTCCTTGGGCCCTTGTTGTTGCTTATCTTCTTTGGGTCAGTAAATTATAGTATAGTTATCCTGTACTATAGTCTACTACCCTATATATCTGTAATACATGTGTATATATATACACACACACTATAGTATATATCTGTATGGGTTACCTCACTCAGAGTGATCCTTTCTAGTTGCATTCACTTGCCTTTCAAATTTCATTATTTTCTTGTTTTTAATAGCTGAGTAGTTTTCCATTATATAAATTGTACCTTTTTTTTTCTGTTCATCAGTTGAGGGACATCTGGGTTGTTTCCAGCTTCTGGCTATGATGAATAAAGCTGCAATGAACATAGTTGAGCAAATGTCCTTGTTGTATGTGGAGCTTCTTTTGAGTATATGCCCAGGAGTGGTGTAACTGGGTGTTGAGACCTCCAGAAATCTCTGCTCACATATCAAGAAAGGTACTTGATTGACTTCTCAAGTGTTGTTCACCTTGGATCTCTGGAGAAGATATGAGGGGTAGAAGGATGTGAGCAGTGACCTAGGGTCTTGTTTCATGTCCTTGCCAGCATTTCGGGTGGAGGTGGGGGCATAGGGAGTGAGCAGGTCACCAGCAGCCCAAGCAGAAAGTCTTTGTGTTCACACTCTTGGACAATGAAAGACAGGAGGCAGAGTTGGAAACAGGTGAAGTTGCACAGCTGAGTGGAGAGGCAAGTTCAGCATAAAAGGTCCTTCTTGAGTGTGCAGTAAAGTCAATTGTGGTTGGACCAGGGCCATGGAGCCCAGTGTTCTGATCTTTCTTCCTCTCCTTGAGGGATTCTTGCTACTTCTGCTCAGGGGCTGTTATGCCAGGTTCACGGGACCCTCAGAGACCACCAGGAGATGACTTGATGCAATTGCAAGAGAGCTTTATTATGAGAGCGATTGAACTCGGGACCCAAATCTCACTGGCACAGCAGTAGAGAAGTGGGACCCCAAGCTCTGAGTGAACAGATTTTTTAAAGGGAAAGCCTGTGAGCAGGGGGTTTCCATGGCAGCAAGCAGGGGGGCACAAGCCTTGGTGTTACAGAATTGGGTGAAGTTTAGCAGGGCAGGGTGACCTTTTCTGAGGCACACAATCACAATGGCTAAGGCATATAATGACAATGGCTATTTTTCTAAACCATATCTGAAACATTGGGGAGAATTTTCCCACCCGACTTTCAACCGATTCCCATTGATTATTGCCAGGGAGTTTGTCTCTATTTTCTATGAAGCATTTATTCTGTTATATCTCCTGGAGGTTGTTGCTAGGAGAGTTAACTTTGTTTTCTGCCAGGTGTACACTCTGTGATATTTCCTGGTATCTGAATTCAGTTCCCAGTCAAGATCTTTATTTCAAAATGGAGTTATATTCTGGGTAATTTAAACCCTTCAGGGCCACTCAAAGACTTGTGGCCATCTTCCAGCAGGACCCTATCCCTTGCCTCTCTTGGAGAACCTTCTGCAAATGGACAGAGAAACCCACCTCAAATCGTTCATTCAGGTGAGGCCTATATGGGGAACTAGTGTGGGGTTTTCCCTACTTTTGACGTTGGAGATCACTCAGAAGGAAGAGTAAGGCCTCCTCCCAAGCTGTAGGTTCAGGTGGGAAGATTGCTGAGTGTCAGGTAAGATGCTAACTTGTGATGGATGGTGCTCAGAATGGCAGACAAGTCTTCCTCTGTTGGAATTGTGTGGGGCATTGTGCTCAGAGTGGGAGAGGTGGAGACGTGTTGAGGTGTAATCTTGGTAAATTTCACTCCTTGAGGCTTGTTCAGTCCAGAAGAGGAAGTAAAATATAACAGGCATCAATAAGTAATGTTTGCTTTTGCCAAAGAAGTTTATCCTGATGTGTTCCAGGACAAAGGGAGGAGAGGTGAAACAGGTAGATAGGTAGGTATGACTAATCATCTATAAACCCAATGCACCATCCAAGCAGCTGATCCTGGCACCATCTTTCCAGTCTCCACAAGTGGGATTTCATGTTTAACTAACACTTGTTTGTTAATCAGTAACATCCATGACCCTACTTTCCATTAAGAGAAGCGATATAGTGGCAGAAATCTCAGTCTCCTGCTACCCCTTAGTTTTTAATAGATCAATGGTCTATTTATTTTTTAATTAGTTTTTCAGACAAGGCCACTCTGCTTTTTCCAGGCTAAATGTCCACCTGACATAACATCTCCTGTGCTGGGATGACAGATGTATGGCACATCTGGCCACAAGTGTTTCAAAACTATGCTTTTTATATGGTGGAAATGTCAAGTTAACATCCTATTTGCCATTATTTTTATTCTTTGAAAATCTAATTCCTTACTTTCTCAATCTCATCTCCACCATTTTCTGTGAAGCTCCTCCCCACTTGGAGGTAATTATGGTTGTTTGAATGAGTATGGATGAGGGTACTATTTCCTGGAACACAAACAACTTATGAACAGGCACTACACTGAGGAAAGTGGGACCTCAGCACTCTAATTGCCCAGAGACTCACAATGATGGCTGGTGCCATCATGCCATGGTAGCATGATATGTTGCATCTTTTTCATGTACAGACAGTCAGGGGTTATAACAAAAGAAGTTTTCCAGGGGGTAGATAATGCGCAGTGGACAGGAAATTACTACCTACTATAGGAAGCTTAAAACAATTGATCAAATCCATGATCGACAGTATGTGACAATTTCAGACAGCTAAGCTGCATTCCTTGACTGTTGGGAGCTGAGAGTCTGGTTGCAGATACAGAATTAACTCATAAAATTCATTAGGCAAATTACTTTCTCACCTGGTTTATATTGGATGTAATCAAAGCAA